CTGACCTCCAACCCAGCCCAACACACATATATAAGGCAACAGCCTAATATAGATAAACTAATCAGCTACTAGGAATGCACCTGCTACTATTCTACATCACTTATAGTTATTTTACACTGCTCAATTGACAAATACACCACAGCAGATATATTTTGTAACAAATGGGTGTAGGTAAAATCTTTTTCCTGTTTGGTGTTTTTGTTTGGTGTCTTAAAATTTGTCTTATTTAAGTAAGAATTAAAGTCACAGATTTTGCAGACCAGAAAGCAAAGTGCTATTACCATTTCACACACATGGAAATATAAGCTCTTAGCAATGTCAACTTGCAGGTTATAGAGTGAACCCAGGTGCTGTGAAAGACCATAAATCTAATTCCGCAATTGCTCACAAATATATCATAACTGGGTAAATTTTACTGAACTAAAGAATAAGGCATTGTGAAAGGTTGCCCAGATGAGAATCATTCTAACTCAGTAAAGTAATTGCTTATGCAATTAGATTTTTACTTCTCTATAAACAATGCTTAAAGCCTTTGAAATGTTTATCTGCTTTTTTAAAGTACCAGAGGTTAATTTAGAGTCCAAGGACAGTTGTGCTAACTGACCTTCAAGTATTCCAGGATGCTTTCCTCTACCACTAGTCTTTTTAAATTGTTAAGTGTATATTTCAAAGACTGTTATAGAGTACAAAGGACTCATCATATCATGATAGTAAACTAATAATAAACATATACACAATAAATTTTGAAATGCATCAATATTAAAAACATGAATACAATATTTTGAAAATATTTGAAGCAATTTTTGTCCCTTGGAGAATTAACATAAAAAAAGGCATTTTGCAACTTATAAAGCAGAAAAATAGAAATTTAATGAGCATATATATAGTCAGTGAATATGAGTCAAAAGTCTTATGCTATAATTGTATCAAGTACTTGAATTTATATTATTTTAGTTTCAGATACGTTACTTAACTCTATATATAAATTTATGTATTTGTATTTTAAAATTTTAGCATTCTGAATTGTTTTTCACTTACAATATTCTGGTGAACATTTGTCTTCTTTGATATGGTATCATAGTGTTGGTCATCTCAACATATATTCTCCTTGCACCTACTATACTTATAATACTGTTTAGTCAACTAAATATTACAGGGCAGTTCCTTACACATAAACATCTATTTAATTAGGTGTAATTGAGAAACATAATTTTGGAGAATAAAACATGTCATAGTCAGTCTCTAAAATGGTCACCAATGTTCCTTTCCTGCTGTTATTCACACCTCTGTGGAGTTTTCCTGGCCATTGTAACCACCTGGACTTAGCAGAGATGACAATGTCCTATAAGTCTAGGTCAAAGCAGGAAGAGTGACTCACACCTCTTCTTTCTCAGGTCACTTGCTCTGGAGGATGAAGTGTGCTCCTACCATGTAGGAGGACACACCAGCCCTAGTCTGGAAGTCACCTGAGTGAGCATACTACCACGATACCCCAGCAACAGAAAATCTTTCAACTGTCGCAGCCCCAGCAAATGTCTTTACTACAGCTTCAAGATATATCCCAAGAACCACACAGATAAGTCTTTCCACACTCTTATTTCAGAAATTGTATAAAATAATATTTTTTCAAGCAACTTAGTTTTAAGTTATGAAACTTCAATAGATAATCTTCATAAAATACAAGTGAAGTGGACAAGTAAGCAGTTATTAGAATATAATGTTTTAACTTTTTACTATAAGGACCCACAGATAATAATGGTGTGAAAGTCAGGTAGCAGATTATTTTTAGGAAGCCTAAAATGGTTTCAAAATGAAGAGCAGGATTTATAGGATGAATTAACAATTCTACAAAAAGAAAAATTAATCTCTACTAGTGAGCTTAATACTTATACAGGACTCATGATAAAACAGATTTTGTTCTAAATCCTTCAACTATATTCTTCTTATAATTCTCTTAATAGTCTTATTGCACAGGTACTATTATCCACATTTTATAGATAATAAAAGCCCAGATAGGTTACTTTTCCAACATCAGCTAGCAGCAGTACGGTCTTGATTTAATACTAGAGAAATCACATTGTTAACTATTTTACTATACTTCCTGCTGTATGGGGGTATGTGGTAACAGTTTGATCAAAGGCAGCAGGAAGTGAGCACATGTTTTCACAGGAAAAGAAGCAGGCAAGAACTGTCAGAACTGTGGCTGGAAAACAGGATACATGAGCTGACCAATAACTTGAAAATAAAGAGCTAATTCAAAAACTTGGAATTATCTTTGGAAATTATCTTTGGGTAATAGGATATACTTGATGAAATTGTGTTTAATGAAGATACCTCTGCTGTACTGATAAAGGGGAGAGGCTGGATAAGAGGATCAAAAAGAAATTTCATTCATCCCCTCACGTTACGTTTTGGGATAATGTAATGGAGATCAGAGTAATAAGAGAAAGCAAATTTAAGAGACAATTGAGGGGCCTTCCTGGTGGCACAGCAGGTAAAAGTGCAGCACTGCAAGCTAGCAGCAGCTGCCTCAGTGTGTTCAATCTCCCACAGTGGAGGTGACCCACATGGCACTGCAGACCTCCTCTGACCCACCCGCTGCTCCCCTCTGCAGTGTACTTCACCAATCTGACTGTTCTGCTCCCCACTCTGTCTCTGGTGAAGCCTGTTGCTGCCCCTGCATCTCTGGCCTGTACTCCAGTTCTATATGCATAAATAAATCTTTAACAAAAATAAAAGAGAGAGAGAGAGAGATAACTGAAGGTTAGCCAGGGGAGAATATAGTGACTGATTGGGTGCCAAGTAGATATGAAAGATGACTTGCAGGTTTTTAGTTTGTAGGCATGGATAGTTAATTCATTCATAAATATAGAAAACTAGAAGTGATTGCTTCCATGGAAGTTTTTTGTTTGTTTGTTTGTTTATTTGTTTTTTGCTTGTTTTTAATTTTTTTTTTAATTTATTTATGTATACAGAACTATGGTTCCGGCCAGAGGTGTAGGGGCTCTGAGAACATTCACCAGAGTCACAGTCGGGAGCAAAACAGGCAGACTGATGAAGTACACTGCTGAGGGGAGCAGTGGGTGAGACAGGAAAGGTCTGCTGTGCCATGTGGATCACCTTAGGGTGGGAATCTTAACTTCACAGGCGGCCCTGGCCAGCTTCCCAATGCTGTGCTCCAATCCACTGTACCACCAGTGAAGGCCCAGAAGTTGTTTTTAGTAATTACCTCATGAAAGAAATGAAGTAGTAGTAATATGGTGGGGTTTTTCCCCCCTTTACCAGTGAAAAGCCAACCACAAAGAGGTTATCCAAAACTCAGTTGCAGAAACAGAAGCCCAGGGCAGCTCTAATGTGGAATGTGTTTCTTACATCTAAGTAATCTAATTTGAAAGTCTATAGGAAACTGTTCATTTTATAAATTAAGAACATACTCAAAATTAACTTCTATATTCATTAACATTACAAATATTTATATCTTGTGAAATATATCCATTGTAAAAATACAAATCTATAATTTGCAATAATGTAGTTCTAAAATTTAAAGAAATTATATTAAAAAAAAAAACAAGGAATAAATGGATTACCACTGTAAATATAGTTTAAAGAGAAATAAAATAGGAAAAGGCACCTAAATATTTTCCAGTTAAAATTCTGGGTCACACTTTTACATAGTGATTCCAATTGTGTATTCTTTAAGATGTCATATTTTACAATATAGAAAATATTTAACAGTATATCCTATTTAGCACAATATGTAAAGGCTCAATGTCTTAGCCTATTTAGAATGCAGGTTTATGGCTCTGGATAAATAGCCCTCTCTATATGCCTTGGCTGATTTCAGGGGACTTAGCCTACCTGTCAGGCGATACTCATTTGTAGTCCAGCTTCCACTATACAGCAAAGATGCCAACCATACCTGTCTCAATGAACCCAAGTGCCTCAGCCTTATGACTTTGTGATAATAAACATATTTCTTTCAAAATAGCTATTTACTGGCATGTATGATAGGTTTTGTAAATAACTGTTGAATGTGTAACATGTTACAATGAGAAATAGAAGATCCCTGTATATGTAGAATACATTTCACAATTTGTTTTTTTGAGTGATTCCACTCCTACCAGTGAGAGAAAATGAGAGGGGTACAAATATGAAAAACACATTAAAAGGTTAATGAAATGTTTTTGCTTGTGGTAAAAGGCGATAAGCATAAATACATTCTTCTGTTCATTTAATATTTATTGAGCACCTGACTAATTTCTTCCCTAAAGGAACTCAGTCAATAGAGCATGTCAGATGTGAAAATAGACAAATATAATTTAAAAAGAAAAAAGAAACAAAGACTGAATAAAGAGATAGATGAACTATAAACTCAGAGACTGAATACACCATAATGAAAAATGTATCTTTCCTCACTTGTTTATTTCTATTTTACCCCAAATCCATAAGAACACATGGACACTCAAGATGTAGTATCTCATTACAAGTAATTCTAGGAGAATTCTCTTAACACTCTATTTTCAGTATCTCAAAATAGGACGTTTTGATGGGAGGAGCAAAGTATGTCTGGAAAGGAAGCTTGAAGCAGATGGTAAAAGCCTATAAAATTATGTGATTTTCCATGTGTCCAAAAGATTTATTTTGGTTTGGTTGTTTTATATTGCCAAGTGTAAAACCTATAAATTATCCTTTATTATGGTTGGTATAGAAATCCTACTTTTCAAACTAAATATCCATTCAAGCTTTTTAATCATTATCTTTATGAAATTGGAACATTCAACCTTTGTTCAGATCTACAAATAAGAAACACAATTTCATTTTGGAATCAATGAGTAGAACAAAAAAGGAGATGAGTAGGAAAATTGAAGAAAGAAACAACTTAAATATCTTTCAAGCACATTCAGTGAGGTACATTATTTTGCATATTAAGAAAAAGTGAAGAGGAACAGAGATAGAACACTGTTTCTTTCCATTTAAACATCAAATTTCACGGATCTTACCTGAAAAGTTTTTGTAATCCACTAAATCAAACATAACAACAGCAACAGCTGACCATGTGATTATCAGAGCAATGACTAGAAGCCAGGCTGCTGGAGAGCTGAAGGTTGTCACTATGTCTTCTGTCACTGTCCTCTTGAGCATTTTTCCAGGGGACTTGGGCACTGAGCCATTCTTGTTGTCTATCACTGTTGTGGTAGTAGATGCATTTCCTAATCAAAATCCAGAAAGAAGAATTACCATTCAGAAATTCACATCAAATATTGATGGCTAAAAAACACAGGCTACATATGTAAATTGTATGTATTTTCTGTGTACAATACACCTCCTCTGAAAAGCATATATCTCCACTTGCTGCCATATTATATCTTCCTCAGAACTTACCCTCCAACCTATACCCATGTTTTTTCAGCCTTCCTAATCTCCCAAACTCTGTATCATCCAGGCCACAAACATTATTATCACCTCTAGTCACTTCTGCTTCTTCCTTATCGCCACCTATTGCCATTACTGTCAGGAGCATCAGGGACTATTCATTAAGTTTCTTTTTACCACCTTTTTGCCTTTGTTTAAGCTACGTCAGTGCAAAATGTAAGCAAAAATATCTACACCTACAAGAGTTTCAGAATCAGTGATCAAATAGCTTGAGTATATGAAATTCCTTTTGGATATCATAGCTGAACTACATCATTGACCCTTCAGTAAAGTTAATCATTGTTTTATTGGTGAATGGGCATAGAAGACTGAGAGGATAATGTTAGAAAATCTTATTATATTCAGCAGATATTTATTCCTAAAAGTTTACATATTCTTGAGATAAAATTAAAAAGTATAAAAAAATAGCAAAATAAATGAATAAGTGATCATTTGGAATCTTACCACCTAGAAATTACCATTGACATGTTTTTCTATTTATAACTATTTTTGTGCATATATAGTATATATAAATGTTTTGTTTTTGACAAATCATCATCGCACTGTTCTTTATATTTGTTTACTAGGCAACAGATAATAATTGCCACTATGCCTTCCTTAAAAAAAAAAAACCACTTAAGTAGCTGTATGAATTGTCATTTTGTGGCTGTGCATAACTTAGTCAAAAGCAGAAGTTTTCTCAGTACCCATTAATATTTATTTAATTAGCAAAAATATATTGAATTTGTAGGACAAATAATTGCTTTTGTAATTTTTGAGAAAATAGATATTTTTGAATTTACCATATTTTTGAAAATTTTATGTCACAGTCTTTTTTCCTTTACCATAGCAGTTAATACTAGTATATAGAATATCCACAGGCATAGAAGGAAAATTTATGATTACTAGATGTGAGCTTTATATATGTTTATTTTTGCCTTGTAATGTCTATCTAGTAAAATTTAGTGTGCATTTATCTCCTATAAAATCACTGCTTTGTATGGCTAAGAAATATGTGCCCTGCCAAACACAGTGGAAAGAAGCATCTCAATATATATGGCTAACACTTGACTCACAGAAAGTTTAATCTAGAAGAAACACAGAAATGAAATAAGCATTTCATGTTACATTTAAGAACATACATCAGAAAATAGAAGAGACTTCTGTATTATTTCTGTTCATAAATTAATGTGTAACAAATAATTGAAAATTAAAAAGAAAAATTACATCCTCATAATAAATATTTTTGCCAAAATCACAGCTTAACAGTATATTTCATATATTTTAGATGTGGACCACATTGTCTATAATAATTTAACACATATCACAAAAAAAGAAAATTTTGATTACTTCTATTCTGATAATTTCATATTTTCAATTTCACTATCATTAAACTATATTTCCAAAACAGAAAACAAACTCTAAATTTTCAAAAGTCTTAATGCTTTTCACAAAATAAATATTATCAACTCATTTTTTCTTCTTAGAATGTTTTAAATAATTTCTGAAAGGTTTTTATCTTTTAAAGGTGAAGGGAATTCTTTGTACTGTTTGAAAACTTCACAGAGTGTAATGAAGTGCTCCTCTCAACCTTTTAGACTCTTGTCTTACCTGCCTTAACTTTTCCTTTAATTGGGCTTCTGTTATGGAGAAAGTAATATAAAAATATTGTTCTATATTTATGGACAAGAGAAATCAGTATTAGCTCCTAGTTTCTCCCTGCCTTAGCTGAACAGCTAGAGGGTCAGGACTACATGTCACCTGTGAGTGGGAAGCATCTGTATCTGGAGAATGAGGTCATTAAGATTCGATTCATGTATATGATAGAGGACAAATAACTGATGTTAACAGCTTGGAATTTTTTCTGCTACAGATTTATTCAGTAAGTACCCCCATAATAACAACTGAACTACATCATTATAATTTTTATAACCACCAGCATTGTTGTTACTATCACCAACCCCTAGGTCTACTACATGATGATGACCGTGACCTCTACCCTCACCATAAAGGGAAGTTGGAAGGGCAGGATGAACCTTAGCTACAAAGGTCAAGGGAATTTCCTTCAAATGCAGGAGTGCATTTCCATTTAGTAAACAGTATATAAGGCAAAGATAATTTCCGGGAAACAAAAGAGGACTCCATCATGCTCTCCATTAACTTCTTATCAATTATTATATCTTATGCTACAGGGAAAAAGAGACATAGATGCTAATTTATTCATATTAATGGAGGTTTATCTTGCCACATTTAGAAAATTAAAAGAGATGATCTATAAATTTTTCAAAATAGTTAAGAGTTTGAATCTTCAAACAGATGTGAAGCCCCCTTCAGATGGTGCTTAGAGTACACACCCTAAATCCAGTTCATAAAACATTTGTAGATGTTGGGGGAAGATAGGAAAACTTTTTTCTAATTCCATATGTAAAATTAAGTACTACAGTTATTTTAAATCATACTTTATACATAAAATGGTATTATCCATTTTATAAAAATAAGATAAATAACAATTTATCTGTCTAACACAAGGGAAGAAAATATTCAAGTGTACATATTAGCAAGTATTAATTAATAATTACCAAACATAACTCACAATTATTTTTAGATGACAATGTTAAATTTATGCCCATGTTTTTAAGATTGAAAAGCTGAGGAGGCTCATCAGTGTTAAAATGACTTAAGATATTAGGTAGGGGTTGGTAGAAATTAAGATTGAAAACAAATGCCTTTTCTTTCCTGAAAAGCTATGTGAGCACATACCCAAGTTCATGAACCCAATTTAGTTGAAATGATAGTGAGATGGAAAAATACCTTTAAAAAACAGTTTTCACAGATTGTACTTGAGATGGTGCTCAAAGAAGGAAAAATTAGAAAAGGCTCATATCATATCCTCTCATTGATGTTCATACCAAATTCCCATCATTTCTAATGGCAGTTCTGAAAATGGATGAATGATAGGAATGCTTTGAAATGCAATTTCAGACCCAAGTGAGGCTACACGTGAATCCAACTTCAGAATAATGATTCACAAGAGAATAAGTGAATTATAAGTGTTCAGGAGAAGTCCACCTCAAAGTTGATATGTTGCTAATCTTCACTTTTTTAACATCCAGAAGCCTTCTTAGCACCATTACATAAAACACAGAACTGCTTTTGTACTTCAGATTCACTTCACTAAACTATGCATTAGAGAGTATTTCTGTAGACAATACCAAGCACACTGGTTGGTTGGTATCTTGAAAGTGGAAAAAAGTAAATTCAGTGATACTGAATAGAAATTAGTTGACTCCTGTTCACTTTTTTTTAAAAGATTTATTTATTTATTCATACAGAACTGGGGTACAGGCCAGAGATGCGGAGGGTGAGAGGATTCACCAGAGACAGAGCGGGAGCAAAACAGGCAGATCTACGAAGTACACTGCTGAGGGGAGCAGTGGGCAGGTCAGGAGAGGTTCTGCCTTGCCATGTGGATCTCCTCCGGGGCAGGCAGGGATTGAACTCATGCGGAAGTGGCTTAAGCTTCTTAGTGCAGTGCTTTAGCCCACTGCGCCACCAGGGAGGGCCCTGTTCACTTTTTTAAAAAAAGATTTATTTATGCATACAAGAACTGAGATAGGCTAGAGGTGTGTGAAAGTATTCACCAGAGAGAAAGTGGGGAGCAGAACAGGCAGATCTACTGAGATACACTGCTGAGTGGAAGCAACAGGCAAGACAGGAGAGGTCTCCCACGCTGAGCCATGTGGGCTAGTTCACTAGAGGGGAATGGAACTCATGTTGCAGTAGTTGGCTAATGTTGATAGCACTTTGACTTGATTTCCTGTGCCAATGGAGGCCCCCATCACATTTTTAAGGCAGAAAAATTGAAAAAGGAACATGAATTTCTAATGTTTTCCTTTTTATCAGAAATGAGAATTTATGTAGGTTCAGGAATATATGTTTAAATAGAATTTTACATTTTTAGATAATTGATAATATAAGTTTAAATATGAATTTTACATTTTAAGACAACTGGTATTAATGTGAGTTCTAACTATTATTTTATGTTGCAATCCTACCAAAACAATTATGGTATATTTTAAGTGACACAATGTTTACAACTGAAAGATTTTTTTTTCTATCTTTTTTGTCTACACACTCTTGAAATTTCCAGTTAATTAGATGTAAAGATGCTCAAAATATTTTCTGATTACTCAGTTGCAACATTTGAAAGTAATCTGAAGGTTATTTTTCTTTAAGAAAATGATGTGTTGCCTTTGTTATGGAAACACGCTGAGCTGTACCTTTCATATTCCATTCAAATTTACTGCAGAAACTACACAGAGCCAAAGGAATAAAATTGAGGGGAAATAAATTGCCTTTTCTGACAGCTGGTCAAAATAAATGCAAAGAACAGTGTGTGTAATCTGAGATTATTTAATGTTTGAGAAGTGCTTTGAAGGTGACAAGAGCTAGTTATTGATATAGCAGGAAAAATGAGAGGTAAATATTACTGAACAATTTGACATGGGCTATGCCTCTTGAAAGTGGGAATCACAAAATTAGGGCTAGAAGCTAGGATATGTGACAGTACTTTCCATGCCTACTGCTTAATCCCATTCCTTTTATTGCATTCAAAATCACTTTGATTACCAGACAGACAGAATCAGGCTCAAAGGAAGTACTCTCTGGCTGACAGGCCAAGTGACCCTGCCCCACAAAGTGAAATGAGGGGCTGTTTATGTAGAGGTTCCAAAGGTTGTGCACTGAAGCATAAATCACAGGTCTCCTGAAAGAAGTCACTTAACCTCATCATGTCTTA